CCCGGCCTCCCGTCCTCCCCTGCTGCACCTCGGGGCACCTCTGCCGCGGGGGCCCCTGCCCCCGCTCCGCTCCGCGCAGCACCCCCTCATCGCGCGACCCGTGCGAGCGATGGGTGTGACGGGGGCGCTCTTCGAGGCGAAGTGGCGTCTTGAGGGCTCCCTCGATCTTCCCTTGGGGCGCCTGCCGGGAGGGCGATGCCATGTCAGCTGTCATGCCCCAGCTGCACGCTGGACAGAGCTGACAAGAACGATCACGCCAAATTAAGCGCCACACTTGCGCTGTTCTTCTCGGTCTTACCGTGCAGCCCGTGTTCTTAGCGGGCGCTTACCCAGGCACGAGCAGGAAATACAGGTGAGGTACATCAGGTGAAGGAGGATCAGGAGACCGCGAGGGAGAAGAGTGGATTAGCGGGCGGACGAGCCAGATACATTCAAGAAGGGCGTCGCGATGATTTCCCACATCGCCCATCATCTCATCGTTCCTCTAGCGGGGCGGGAAGGAGAAATGGTAAGACGCCCCCCGCTGTGGATGCTGGATCCGCCAAGCTCTCCTCCCCGCTTCCCCGTTTCCACGCCCGGACAACCTCGCAAACCGAATCCTGCCCTGCACCCCACAAACGTACCCCAATTGGTCTCCCAGAGACCTCCTGCATGGGGTCCTAGGAGATGGGGTCGGAGGATCGCGCCGCATTGCCGATGCATTTGCGTCGCCGACGCGTCGCACACGTCGACGATGCATCGACGATACATCGGTGACGCATCGGCGGCGCATCGGCGATGCGGCGCGATCCTTCGACCCAGTCTACTAGGGCCCCACCTGGGAGGCCTAGATCTCCGAGAGAGCGTGATCCACCGCCGCTTTACTATGGAAAATTGCCAGCCTTTTCCTCCGGAGCCCGGGGGTCGCCCCCCCCCCCCCCCCCCCTCCGAAAACCCCCCCCCCCCCCCCCACCTGTGGACACCCCCCCCCCCCACCCCCCCCCTCCCCCCCCCCTCCCCCAGCAAAACCCCCCCCTCCCCTAACCCGTCCCCCCCCCCATCTCCCCCCTCGAAAACCGGGGGGGGTCACTACCGGTTCGAACCCCTCCCCCCCGCCCCCCTCCGGATCCGGAAAACCGGGGGGGGCCACTACCGGTTAGAACACCCCCCCCCCACCCCCCCTCGAACACCGACGGGAGGGTAAACTTACCGGTTCGACCCCCTTCCCCCCACGCACCGCCAGCAAACGACTCCTGGTCCCTACCACCGTCCGCATCACATCCCCCACTGTTGTTCCCAGCACCACTGTCCTCACCACCACTGTCCCCACTGGTTCCACCACCGTCCCTACTGTCCCCACCAGTGCCCCCACCACTGTCGCACTGTCCCCGCTGTCCCCAGAACTGTTCCCACCACGGTTCCACTCTCCCCACTGTCTCCACGGCCCCAACCACTGCCCGACTCTCCCCACTGTCCCCACTGTCCCACTGACTCCTCCGCTGTCCCACTGAGCTGTCCCACTGTTCCCACCACTGTCCCCACTGTCCCCACCACTGTCCCCACTGTACCTCTGTCCCATTGTCCCACCGCCGTCCTCGCCACCGCCTTCACCACTGTCCCCACCACCACTGTACCCTCCACTGTCCTACTGTTTCCACCACATCCCCACTGTCCCCACACCACTGTTCCCACCACCACCGTCCCCACCACTGTCCCACTGTCCCCACTGTTCCCACCATTGTCCTCACCATTGTCCCCACCACTACCGTCCCCACCACTGTCCCACTGTCCCCACCACTGTCCCGCTGTCCCCTCACCGCTGTCCCCACAACCACCGTCCCCACCACTGTCCGCACCCCCCCTCGGGTTTCGAGGGGGGGGCGGGGGTTCGAACCTGGTAGTGACCCCCACTCGATTTTGGAAGGGGTGGGGGGGGGGAGGGCGTTCGAACCGGTAGTGACCCCCCCCCTTTTCATGATGAGTTGGGGGGGGGGGGGAGGGGTTCGAACCGGTAGTGACCCCCCCCGGTTTTCCGGAGGGGGGGGGGGGGAGGGGTTCGAACCGGTAGTGACCCCCCCCGGTTTTCCGCCAGCAGCGGTAGAACACGCTCTCTCAGATCTCCGCAGGCAGGTGCAATCACACTGCCGGGAGAGGCCTCTCCCCCCCGCGCCCCACCCCCGAACCCCTCGCGCAGTGACACAAATCGAGACGGGCGGTGGTTGGAGCTCGACGGCCTCCAAGGGGCTCCTCCCGTGCCAATAGGCCGCCGACAGAAACGACCCGGGAGGAGAAGCCGGTCCACAGGAAGGGGTCCAGACCTCTGGGGGCACCACTTGATCCGCGGGCACAAGAGGAGTCAGACGCTGGTCGAGCAACGGGAGGGAGGCTCCAGAAAATCGAAATGGGCACAGAGACGCGGCGGACAGAAAGGGAGGAGGCGGCAAGGGAAGAGCCGCACTCAAACCCTGAAGCCCTTCGCTCGAGCTTCAGAGAAACAAAACCCGTCAGCGGGCGCTGGCCCCCCCCCTGAAGGCGCCTCCGGCGCCGCCCCCGGCGCGCTCTCCTCGACTCGTCCTCCTGGCATCGGCGATGCCTCCCCACGTCGGCGGCAGGCCCCCGGAAGCGAAGCCGCATGCTCCCGGGCGTGGCGGGCTGTCGGGCCCACCTCGGCGAGGAAGGGGCACTTTGGGGTCGACGCTCCCCGGCCTCCATTGAGCCTACCGTCCCACTAAGAAGGAGGAGGAGGAGGAGGAGGAGGAGGAGGAGGAGGAGGAGGAGGAGGAGGAGGAGGAGGAGGAGAGGGAGGAGGAGGGGCGGAGGAGGAGGAGGAGGAGGAGGATGAGGATGAGGAGGAGGAGGAGGGGAGGAGGAGGAGCATGAGGGGAGGAGGAGTGGAGGATGATGATGATGATGATGATGATGATGATGATGAGGAGGAGGAGGAGGAGGAGGAGGAGGAGGAGGAGGAGGAGGAGGAGGAGGAGGAGGAGCCTCGGCCACGAAGAGGCCCCCCGACCCATATCTCAGGAACGGCCTGGAAACCAGATCCCCTGCTGGACCCCAGGCGGTCCTCGCTTCAGCGCCACGCAGCGACATACACCACCAGCACCAGTTCGGGCAACCCAGAACCCCTCGGGCCACGAAGGAATCAAGACAGGCATGTTGTGCACCACCTCCCTCACCCCCTCCCCCTCCCAAGGAGGGGGGGGAAGAGCAGGGTCGAGGGCGGAGGGGGAACGGAGGCGGTGGTGCAGATCCCTGGGGACCCGCAGAAAACGAGCGGGGGCATGGGAGCGCAGACGGGCACGGGCTCCGCCGCGGCGCAGCGCGGTGGCGTGGCAGGCCACGGGAAAGCCGACGCCCGTGTTTTTGTTCGCAGCTCTGCCTGCCCAAAGGTGCCGCTGCTTGCCCTCGTGGAGGAGGGCCTCCTCTGGGGTCTTCCTGGTCTGGACCGGGAACACAAGTAAACATACGCTTCCGAAGCTCCGTGCGGATGTCTTGCATCGGCGCTGGGCCCTCCTTGCGGCGCCTCTGGCGCCGATTGAAAAAATCCGCGCGGACCTCCAGAAATGTATGATGCTGCAATGTGTTGGTCTTCGATCTGGGCTCTACTGGTCGTCCCCTTCCTCGCCACCTCGGCCCTCTGGCAATCGTCGAGGCTGCGACGAAGCCGTTGTCTGTGTTTGTTCCCACTTGTGGCTGCCAAAGGGGCGCTGCTTAGCTTTGTGGAGGCAGGAGGCGCCCTCTGGGGCCTTCCTTGCCATGCTGGTGCTCGCACTGGTGGGCGCGGGTTCTTCGCGCGAGCCCTTTCTACTGAGCTGTGCTGTGCCAAAATGTGCCGCACTGCGGTATGGCGTGATCTGCCGTGCTGTGTGACGCTCTGCTGTGTGATGCCATGCTGCAGTGCGCTATTATGTGGTATGTTCAGCGGTGCAATGCTATTCAAAGCTGCGGTAGCAGTGCTTTGCAATTGTGCTGCTGCGCCGTACTCAGACATGCCATGCGGTGCTACAATCTGGGGTTCGGAATACTGTTGTTCCATTATGTGCTAGGCGGCGCTTTGTTGTGCATTGCTACGCTTCGCTAGGCTTTGCATTGCATGTTATCTCACTGCCTTGCACCTCGCTCCATTGCGTGGCACCTCCTTGCGTGGCGGCGATCAAGCAGCGTACAGCGGTGTCTGCCTGCATCGAAGGAGAGCCCAGAATGAATCGGATCGGCAGAAATCGGCTACCAAGTCGGGATACATCGAATTGGCGGGAATCGGCGGACTAATCCATTGAGAAACCGAAGCCCAAATCGGAATCTCAAATCGAATCGACTCGGAATCGAAGCCGATCGACATCGAATCCAGTCGGAGGAATCGCCACGACACCCTGTCATCGCCCGTCAGCGTCTAGTCCAACCAGTCGTGCTGGTACGCGAACCAACCGCGGCCAGCAAGGCGGAGAAGCGTCGGGGGCTTTGTGGGCCCCGGAATTCCAGAAAAATGTCCCTTGAAAATAGAAACGGCCAAAAAACGGCGACTGGAAACGGCAAAAAAACGGCTCCAGAATTGGAACCGGAGCCGGAACCAGTCAAGACACGGCGATGGAACCGGTAAAAAAACGGCGTTGGAACCGGCACAAAACCCGGTAAAACGGAACGGGTAAAAAAACGGCCCTGTCGTTTCCAGGGCCCACTAAGGTCGGGGGGGCATCCCCCGCCGTGGAGGCGTGATCCACCAACCTCTCCGCTCTGCTGCCCCCGCTTCCACGCTCGGGAGGCCTGTGCAGATGCCCCAAATGCGGCCCCACGGGCTTGCGATGATGCGTATGCTCATGGGCATGCTGATGCTGATGCTGATGCTGTCGAAGATGACTATGATGACGATGACCATAATGAGAATGATGAGGTTGATGATGATGAGGTTGATGATGATGATGATGATGATGATGGTGGTGATGATGATGATGATGATGATGATGATGATGATGATGATGAATATGATTATGATGTTGATGATGGTGGTGATGATGATGGTGATGATGATGATGATGAAGACGATGGTAGCGAGGGTAATGGTGATTGCGATGATGCTGATGGTGATGCTGATGCTGATGGTGCTTGTGATGATCATGCTGATGACGTTGATGATGATGATGATGATGATGATGATGATGATGATGATGATGATGATGGCGATGATGATGATGATGATGATGATGATGATGATGATGATGATGATGATGATGATGATGATGATGATGCTGATGATGATGATGATGATGATGATGATAGTGATGCTGATTATGATGATGACTACGACTACGATGAAGATGATGATGTTGATAATGAGGGTGATGAAAATGAAGATGGTGACGACGATGACGACGATGCCGACGATGCCGATGATGATGTGGTGATGATGGTAGTGGTGGCGATAATGATGCTGCTTATGATAATGGTGAGTCTGTCGGAGGCGGAAAGTCCCAATTGCCGCAAATTCGTCAACAACAAAATCAGTATGTTCTGCCTTTACGGCCTATGCTGCACAAACGCTCGCATACCAATGTTCAGATGTTGTTGGGGTCCCGCGTCCCCGTCGGACTGAAGCGGGAAGCCCAGCCAAACTGGTCCAATTGGTGGACCTTGCCACGGCCTTTGAGGATGATGTGGAAGCATGCTGGCGGGCTGCCGTCCTCCCCACCCGCACATTCGCGACGCACGATCACGCACGGCTGAGCGCCGAACTCGCGCCGGTCTTCTCGGTCTTCCCGTGCAGACCGTGTTCTTAGTGGGCGAGATTTCAGGAGAGAGCAAGCTGGAGTCTGGAGGGGGAGGTACGATGTCGGAGCCACTGAAAGAGCACGTGGGAGTGGCTGAGGAATCGCGTCCAAGAGTCATCCAGGGAGAAGTGTTGAGTTTGTGATTCTTTCTCAACGAGTTGGATGGCTGAGAGTGGGCACCAACACCAAGACAGGAGGGTGCCTCCACCGTTGCACGATGATCCTAGATTTTGGTTACGTGGTAAGTCTTCTCGCCACATGGTAAGCTCGAATACGACCGTAATCACCGCGATCGGGATGATCGGACGATTTTCCATCGGTGGAGGCACACCACCGGTATTCATGGTGGTGTCAAACTCTAGGCCTCCGAACGAGAAGAGGCTGGGGGGAGATGCTGCGCGCTGGAACTTAGCTGCCCTTTGTTCTTCGTCGACAGCTTGTCAAGGAGAGGCGGTGGGGCCTAGGAGCTACGCACGAGCCCTGGACGCTCATCCCCCTCCCCCTGTGCTCCTCGTGCTCCTCGTTCTCCTCGTCCTTATCGTCCTCATCGTCCTGCTCGTCCTCGTCCTCCTCCCCCTCGTTCTTATCGTCGTCCTCCTCCTCCTCCTCCTCCTTCTCCTCCTCCTTCCCCTGTCCCTTCTATTCCGCCTCCTCTTCCTCTTCCTCGTTGTCGTCCTCGTCCTCCTCGTCCTCCTCGTCCTCCTCCTCCTCCTCCTCCTCCTCCTCCTCCTCCTCCTCCTCCTCCTCCTCCTCCTCCTCCTCCTCCTCCTCCTCCTCCTCCTCCCTTCTCTGCCAGAGGGCGCTATGCGGATGGTGAGAAAAAACACTCTTGGCAAAAACACACCCCTCAGCAGAGGCCTCCGGAATGGGGTCCGAGTAGATTGAGTCAGAGGACCGCGCTGCATCGCCGATGCATCCCCGATGCATCGGCGATGCATCGCCGACGCTAGCGATGTCTCGGCGTCGTCAGCGTGGAGAGAATCGGGCTCCAGATCTCGGTGGCGAGCCTAGGGGGGAAGTGAGAAGGGACGGGCCTTCTCAGAAGGCTCGGAAGTCCACTTGCCTTCCGAGAAATGTTATAAACCTTCCCCGAAGACACACGACAACTCTCAGAAGGCAGGAGACGTTCTGAGGAGCCCCGCCGCCTTCTCAGAAGGCCTTCTCCTTCTCACTCCATCGCCTCGCTCGCCGCTGGATATCGGGCCGCATCGCCGATGCATCGGCGATGCAGCGCTATCCTCCGACCCCGTCTACTCATAGCCATATTTGGGGGGCCTGGGCTCAGAGCAGGCAGCGCTTCCTTTTGGAGGTCCTGAGAGGGTCGGGGGCGCATGCCATCGAAGGAAGACTGGGCGTCTTGAGGTGCACCCCGATCCAGGACGAGAATGATGCCATGATGCGAGTGGCTCAGGATACCTAACTTGCAACTCCTGGGAGGTAAAATTCTGTATCGGCGCCGGTATGTTTGCGGTCGATAACCGGTCGAATATGGGCTAATCAGGCTCAGCCCGGCTTAATTCCGCTTAATCCTGTTGATAATCCTAGGCTCAATCCAGCCTAGTCTGGTGAAGTGGCTCCGTAATCCGGCATGATAGCCCTTAACGGTTTTAACGAAGAACTCCCAAGAGTCGCCTCCGAAGGATATGTTCCAGGAGTTCCAGAGGATCCAGCGGCCCTGGCAAAGGGCTGGATCGAGATTTGAAGGGTTCTATCTGGGCGTGAGCGAGCCGGCGAGAGCGATCAGGCCATGTTAAGCGCTGGACTCGCGATGGTCTTCTCGGTCTTCTCGTGCAGCCCGTGTTCTCAGTGGGCGCGTTTTCACGAGAGAGAGAGAGAGAGAGAAACAAAACAAAGAGAGAGAGAGGGAGAACAATCCCAAGTCCGTAGAAAAGGGTACGGAGCCGGAGCAACTGAAACAGCAAGTCAGAGTGGCAGAGGAATCGGGTCTGGGAGTCATCGAGGGAGAAGTGTTGAGCTCGTGATATTGTTCCCTGTTCACCGGACAGGTATGTATCGTGGTCCAGCGGCTCCGTGGTCGTTGTCGCCGCCCCGTCGCCGCCTCGTCGCCGCCCGTCGTCTGGGCCAGTCTGGCGGTCTCGCGGCTCCGTTGTCGCCGTCGCCGCCTCATCGCCGCACTGCCGACGCGCCAGATTGCACCACATAGATTGCACCACATATAGTGCACAACATACATGGGCATGATCAGTCCGTAATCAACCCCATTACCAACATCATCGCGATGTTTATCGTACTCATACTTATCAGATCAGCATCGTCGCAGTATTGACAAGATCATTATCGGCATCGGTACACATAATAATCATAAACTTTGTCGCACACCAGGCTAGCATCCTCGTAGTCATAAGCATTTTACAACATGTTTGCGATGTCCAAATCCTGTGCACTCACTCTCTCTTTCCATTTCTCATTCTTTCCCAACCAGCCCTTGGTGTTGGGTCCTCGTTTTGAAGAGACGGTCCCCGCGTTCTCCTCCTCCCTCCTCCCTCCTCCCCCTCCCCACTCCTCCCTCCTCCCTGCAATTCACCCACCCAATACAACGTTTCGTGGCGGGAGCTCCACCGGAGGTCCCAGTGGGACCGCCCGCGTGCGTTCACCACCACCCAGCACAGCCCTTCTTCCCTGCGTTTCACCCACCCCGTACAGCGCTTCGTGGCCGCATAAGGAGCTCCACCGAAGGTCCCAATGGAACCGCCCACATGCGTCAACCACCACCCGGCGTTTCACCCACCCACCCATTACAGCGCTTCGTGGCCGCATAAGGAGCTCCACCGAAGTTCCCAATGGAACCACCCGCATGCGGCAACCACCATCCAGCACAGACCTTCCTCCCTGCGTTTCACCTACCCAGTACAGCGTTTCGTGGCCCCATCGGGAGCTCCACCGAAGGTCCCAGTGGGACCGCCCGCATGCGTCAACCACCACCCAGCACAGCCCTTCCTCCCTGCGATTCACCTACCCAGTACTGCGTTTCGTGGCCCCATAGGGAGCTCCACCGGAGTTCCCAGTGGGGCCGCCCGCATGCGTCAACTACCACCCAGCACAGCCCTTCCTCCCTGCGTTTTACGCACCCAGTTCAGCGCTTCGTGGCCGCATAAGGAGCCCCACCGAAGGTCCCAATGGAACCGCCCATATGCGTCAACCACCACCCAGCACAGCCCTTCCTCCCTGCGATTCACCTACCCAGTACTGCGTTTCGTGGCCCCATAAGGAGCTCCACCGGAGGTCCCAGTGGGGCCGCCCGCATGCGTCAACTACCACCCAGCACAGCCCTTCCTCCCTGAGTTTCACCCACCCACTTCAGCGCTTCGTGGCCCCATCGGGAGCTCCACCGAAGGTCCCAGTGGGACCGCCCGCATGCGTGAACCACCACCCAGCACAGCCCTTCCTCTCTGCGTTTCACCCACCCAGTACAACGCTTCGTGGCCCCATAGGGAGCTCCACCGAAGGTCCCAGTGGCACCGCCCGCATGCGTCAGCCACCACCCAGCAAAGCGTTTCGTGGCCCCATAAGGAGCTCCACCGGAGGTCCCAATGGCACCGTCCGCATGCGTCCCTCCCCACCCGGTACAGCGTTTTGTGGTCCCATAGGGAGCTCCACCGAAGGTCCCAGTGGAACCGCCCGCATGCGTCAGTCACCACCCAGTACACCGCTTCGGTGCCCCATGGGGAGCTCCACCGAAGGCCCCAGTGGTACCGCCCGCATACGTCGTCCACCACCCAGCACTCCATCTCTCAACACCATTGATTGGGAGCTCCATCAAGCCCCAGTGGCACCGCCCGCACGCGTCCCCCCCCAAAGGTACAGCGTTTCGTGGCCCCACACGGACCCCAGTGGTCCGCCCGCATGCGTCAGTCACCACCCAGTGCGGCGTGTCGTGGGCCCATAGGGAGCTCTACAGAAAGACCCCAATGACAACGTCCTTATGCTTCCCCCCCGCCCAGTACAGCGCTTCGTGGCCCCATAGGGGGCCCCACCGAAGTCCCCACTGGCACCGCCCGCATACGTCGGCCACAATTCAGTACAGCGTTCTGTGGCCCCGTAATGAGCTTCACAGAGAGACCCCAGTGGCACCGTCCGCGTGCGTCTCCCCCAACCAGTACAGCGTTTAGTAGCCTCATCGGGAGCTCCAGCGAAGGGCACCGCCCGCATGCGTCCGCCACGCCAATACAACGCATCGTGGCCCATAAGAAGCCCCACTGAAGGCCCCAATGGCGCCGCCCGCATGCGTCTCCCCCACCCATTACGGCACGTCCCTCACGCGTTTCGTGGCCCTATAGGAAGCTCCACCGAAAGCGGCACGCACAACGCGTTATTCACAACTGCGTAAGGTTGGGTCCTTCGCCAAGATGTTGTTAGCTTCTTTCTCGCTCTTTTTTTTTTTTTTTTTTTTTTTTTTTTTTTTCTCTCTCTCTCTCTCTTTCTATCCCTCTCTCTCTCTCTTTCTCTATCTCTCTCCCTGTGTGGGAAACCAAGTGGAGTTTTCATCATGGACCACGCTCGTGGGACCATCCCTGTCATCCTTAAATCTGTCGGCGACCCCAGCTATGAGGGCCAACGGTAGGGTGTTCAGCGCAGCTCACATGAATACCCCAACACTTTAAAGCCATCTTCATTTTAACACCTCTGGGCGCTCCAGTCGAGGGCAAGCGAGAGGGTGGTTCACACCCCACAGTTACAGGAATGCAATCCCCAGCCCCCCGCCAGCCCCGAAACGCTCGACGACGGCCAGCTCCGAACCACCCCCCCAGAAGGCCTAGCGGGAGGGTGCCCCACACACAGAAACTATATGAACGCATGTGTGAACAACGCCGACCCCCAGAATGGTCGGCGAAGCCCAGTTCATGGGCACTGCGTTCGATGGCCACCAGAAGGGCGGTCCGCACACCCCGCTGGCAGGAACACCCAACCCAGCCCTCGAAACGCTGGGGGGCGTTTTCCTTGTTTGTTAATGCCCGTTTGCTCAACCAACACGTTCTAAAAACGATGCCATCGAGTGTGGACGTCAGGCCGGGGGCATTGTGACACCTGGACGCGTATTTGTTGACGTATCCAAATGGTCCTGGCAAAGAACCTCTTCTTCTTATTCGGTGGGCCTCTGGGGGGAATGTTGGCGTGGTGGGGGCCATCTTGTGGGGAGGCCTCACGGGACCCATACGAGTTCTCCCTCTTGGACCTTTCGGGTCCTCTTGGGCCATTATTGACTGCCTTTTTGGCCGTGTTGGGGTCCTCGTGGGCAGTGTTTTGGCCCTCTTGGGTAATGTCCCGGTCCTCTTGGGGGGCTTGTCAGTCGTCTCGGACTGGTCTGGAGGTCTTTCGGACCATCTCGGGCTTGCAGAATGCCGACAAGGCGAGAGTGCGACAACCATGCGGGACAGATGGGGGCGTGTTTGACATCTTGCGGGCCCTCTTTGGACAGATTCGTCTTGTGGGTCTTCTTTGGGCTTGGGCCTCATGTGCGCTTTTGGTGGAGGCTTCTCCGTCGCGTTGCAGCCCTTCTTGGGGCCGTCGGTGGAGCTCCCAATGGAGCCACGAACCGCTGTTCTGGGTGGGTGAAAATGCCAAATTGGGCGTGTGGGACGCATGCGGACGGTCCCACTGGGGGCTTCGGTGGAGCTCCCCATGGGGCCACGAAGCGCTGTACTGGGAGGGTGCAAATGCCAGATTGGGTGTGTGGGGCGCATGCGGATGGTCCCACTGGTGCCTTCGGTGGAGCTCCATATGGGGCCACGAAACGCAGTTCTGGGTGGGTGGAAATATGATATTGAGCTTCCAGGGCGCATTCGGACGGTCCCACGGGGGGCTTCTGTGGAGCTCCTGATGGGGCCACGGAGCGCTGTACTGGGTGGGTGAAAATGCTAAGTTGGGTGTGCGGGACGCATGCGGACGGTCCCATTGGGGGCTTCGGTGGTGCTTGCTATGGGGCCACGAAGCGCTGTACTGGGTGGGTGAAACTGCCAAATGAAATGTGTGGGACGCACGCGGGCGGTCCCACGGGGGGCTTCGGTGGAGCTCCAGATTGGTGCCGCGAAGCGCTGTACTGGGTGCGTGTGGAACTGTCAAATTGCGTGTGCGGGCGGTCCCACTGGGGTCCCTATGGGGCAACGGAGCGCTGTACTGGGTGTGGCGGACGCATGTGGCCACCCCCACTGGGACCTTGGGTGGGGCTCCCTATGGAGCCACAAAGCGCTGTACTGGGAGTGGCGGGCGCATGTGGCCGACCCCACTGGGGCCTTGGGTGGGGCTCCTTATGGAGCCACGAAGCGCTGTAATGGGTTGGTGAAACTGTCAAGTTGGGTGTTTGGCACGCATGAGGGCGGTCCCACTGGGGGCATCGGTGGAGCTCTCCATTGGGGCCACTCCACGCTGTACTGGGTGTGGCGGGCGCATGTGGCCACCCCCACTGGGGCCTTCGGTTGAGCTCCCTATGGGGCCACGAAGCGCTGTACTGAATGTGGCGGACGCATGTGGCGGACGCATGCGGGCGGTGCCACTGGGGCCTTCGGTGGAGCTCCCTATGAAGCCACAAAACGTTTTACTGGGTGGGTGAAACGCAGAGAGGAAGGCCTGTGCTAGGTGCTGGTTGACGCATGTGGGTGGTTCCATTGGGACCTTCGGTGGAGCTCCTTATGCGGCCACGAAGCGCTGAACTGGGTGGGTGAAACGCAGGGAAGAAGGGCTGTGCTGGGTGGTGGTTGACGCATGCGGGCGGTCCCACTGGGACCTCCGGTGGAGCTCCCTATGGGGCCACGAAACGCTGTACTGGGCAGGTGAATCGCAGGGA